TGAGCCTAAATGTGCCAGGTATTTTAAAGCTAGTTTTAAGCATAATCCCTTCTGGGAAAATACTATACACATTAACCAAAAAAATTATAAACCCTTCATGAGTTTTTAAGCATTTTACAGGATTTAATAAAGAATTATCCCTGCTCTCATTTCCTATAAGATGATTCAAAATCCCATAGAAAGAAACCTGTAGAACTGAAGTGTTAATGGTATCCCTAGCATAACTTTTAATCAACCTAATGGGTTTCACTCCAATTAAATTTGATAGGATTTTTTCACAAGGGATTACATAACTAGTAGTAGTTCCACTATTGTAAAAGCTAAAGGTTATACAGTTGTGCACTTAGCAGTCTTACTATTAGAGATAGTTTCTATTTTACTGAAAAAAAGGAAATATTGGCTGCTTTTAGACAAGTGTCTTCTCTTCTTTAATTTACATTGGAATGGCCCCCAAAATTTGGACTTTGATTTAACATTTCATAAGATGCAGAACCTCTATACCTGGCATTGTGCTGTAGTTTCAGTAATGGAAATAAACCCAAAGGCAAGGGATGATTCTCAACCATGCAGCTGAGATAGGAGTTACTAGATGCTTAAATCTTTTGACGTTGTAATTGCAATAGACCATCAATGTAATACCATGGCTTTGAATCTGACTAAATACTACAGAAGCTGAATAATGTTTTTACATACTTAAATCAAAAAGATTTATCTGATAACCTGAGTCCTTCCTTCAGATGTTGATTTAACAAAGAACAAGGATGATCTGTCCTGAGAACGTTGCCTGTCCCCTGTGTTAAGATAGTCCTCTAAGTTTTCCTCTTTAAGAAGGATTCATCAACATTATTTTTCTTAATTTGCCCCTTTTGCCAGTTCCTCCTGCTTCCCTATAACACACTTGCTATGACTTAAGCACTGGCTTGTTAAGCAAATGCTCCAAAACTTTCTTTTGGATAACTTCAGAGATAAGGGGTGGTTGAATTCTGATGGAGCCCTGCATTTGTCATAAATTTGTTTCATTTGATATCTATTATTTTTCAATGACATTTGATTTAAGAAGATATTTATGCATTCTATTTCTATACACCTTGACTTTCTAGCTTTTAATCATAGAAAAATAGGGCTGGAAGAATCTGAGGAGGTCATCAAATCCAACCTCCTGCTCAAGGAAAGATCATCCCTGTCTAAACCATCTCATCCCAAGTGTTTGTTTAACTTGAAATCAGCATGCCAAATGTAAACTGGAGATTCATAGTTTGGTCTATATACTGTAAGATTTTTTTATGACTAGTCTTGTTTAAACTTGTAAATGTTGTTGCCATGCCAATTAACATTATTTCCTTCTGGACAGCCCCTTTGGCTTGAGAATTACTGCCATGGTAAATAAATGGACTCACTTCATGTATACCTTTGCCTTCTGAAGAAGTGCTTAAGCTGGGAGTTACTGAGGCTCTTGGTAGATGTGTTCAAATGATTACTAACACATGGGGGGGGTGTTTTGCAAGGTTGAACAGTCTTTATCTGGTGCATTAGTTCAGCTGTCACCTAAAGCTAATGTCAGCAAAATTGAGATCTTCTAGCGTGCTGCTCTGGACCCTGCAATGCACATGTTGCACTGGCATACACTTTGCCACAGCATGAAGTCTCTGGCAATGCCAAACAGGAGTGGTAAAAGAAGACGTGCTTGTTTTACTCCATTCATGACCATCTGTGTGTGCTGCAGCTGTGCAAATTGCATCTTGGTGATCATATTTGTTGGCATACCACAGCATTTCTACATGGTCTGAAGTGATTCATGATGAAGCCAGTCATGTGCTTCCTTGATATAAGAAAGTGACTTGATGATTTGCTTTGGGGTGAAAATCTGGTTAATGCATTTTCTTCCAGGTTGAAATCAAGCCTGGCCTTCCTTTAACTTCACTGTCACTGCTTCCTTTACTCCGCTTCAGCTAAACTGTAGAAGACTTTACCAACCTGCAGAAAGGGCATGGCATCTTACTCATTGCTGCAATTCCTTAGTTCTTCTTTATTTAGTACTTTGTATATATTGACATTTCTCTGTTATTTTGGAAGGGTTTTTGGGACCAATACTTACATAATGAGTTTGGCAAACTTTCAGCATTTGCCCAGTTTCCTTGGTTTAATCACTCTTTAGAGTCTTTTACTACTTTGTAACATGAAAGAGTTCGACTTTGACAGACAGATTAAATACCTAGTATCACCTTGGTCAGATTAAATACCTTGGTCACTCATGTGACCCATTTAGCACTTCTTGAAAATGCTGCACCCTTGTCTCTTCTCTGCCTCCCTTTCCTTTAAAGTCTTTCCTTGTTTGTTCTTAACAGGCTCCCCGGCTGGTGCGCACTTGCCTGTCAGGACCTTCTTGAGTTGGTGGCATTCTACTAGGACCTCCTTCAGCAGTCTTCTCACCTTCTCTGGAAATGTTATCCCTGTGCTAATTTTAATTTTTTTACTGCGATGCCTTTTACTGCTATCTTCTTTATTTTATACAGGTTTTGCTGCTGCTGTTTCCGAAAGGCTTTAAACAGTTGATGCTTACTTTGCTTGTGTCCATCCCCCCTGCACCCCCCCACCAGTTCAGTGTATCCTCACTTATCCAAACATTTTAGCTGCGTTCATAGGAGAAAAAACTTATTCCAAGCACATAAACATTCTTTTAAACCCTGCAGGTTCTACCAGTTCCTCTAGAGAGCAGCAAATATTCTTAAATAAAATATTAACATGCATCTACTTAACTCAGAAAACAAAGCCTGGTACTAGAATATCTTTGTGTGCTCACAGCCTTCACTAACTGAACTAGCTGAGGACATATAGGAAATATAGGAAGTGGGGTCCTCTAAAGAAAAGCTTTGTAACAGCACTGGGAAGGATTCCTCTTTCTGATGGATACACTGCATGCATGTTATTTTGTATCATGGAAAAATCCATCGTTTCAGCAGAGGGAAATCAAGCTATAGATAAACTTGAGATTTTCAAAGTTATTGAGGGACTTAAGTGTCCAATTTCCAGTGACTGAAAACTGGATGTAGGATATAAACCTCTTGGAAACTTCCACCCTAAATACCCCAGAGCTTCTTGTGGAGACTCAGGAGAGCTGAAACACAAGCTGTTGTAAATAAGAAAGCAATCCTTTGTCTTGAGTCCAAAAAAATAAATTGGTCCTAATCTTTCAGGAACCTTGCATGTAGAAATAAAGCCATTATTTGAATGTCTTCCTATACTTTTTCTTTTTGATCATGCTATTTTCCTGTAAGGGAATCAAATGTAAACTGCTATTTTAATTAGGTTACTTCAGAATTTTGGTGATGCATCAGTGTGCAAACAACCAGCTAAAAGGGAGGGAGGAGATGACTACCTTGAGCCAATGCTAGTGATCAGGAGCATGAAATAAGATTTTTGCATACAAGCTATTTAAACAGGTTCTGGGAAGGAGAAAACTTATATAGCCCCTGTCACCAGAGTTTGAACATCTGAGTCCTTCCATCTCTACAGGGTAATATACACTGGATGTGTCTACATGAGACACTATGTCACTGTAGTGATTAGCTATGGTGGCATAGCTTGTCACTACAGCTACATGGCATTGGTGGGCATGAACCATCATGCTGTGGTACTGCACAATGAGCTACTGTGCAGTGGGGTCAAACAACCCATGCAGTGCCAGGACTGGACAGTACCAGCAGTTACTGCTCAGTTACTTGGTACTTGCTTTACATTTAGCAAATACTAAATGACTGCACAGTACCACCTGTGCAGTCGGGCAAACATGTAGACATGCCCACTATGTTTGTTCCAGGTGGTCAGGATGATCAACAGCCATTGCCTTCATCCAGATTAGGTTACAAGGGAGACTGAGGAGATGAGATCACTTCTTATTTCTTAGCCATCTTTTCAGCTTCCTAGCAATGAAGGCTCCTTGTCCCCCCAATTTTGAATGACTGTAATGGGGATGGAGATACATTTCTAGCTAGGATCTCAACTTAATGGTATTCTCCAGTAGTCTAAGATACTAGAAAAAGAAAAAGAAAAAGAAAAAGCAACGTTTTGCTGTGAGCACACTGTGACCTACTCAAACAACTAGCTAATATTGGGTCAAACTTTGGAGCAATATTATGATAATTCCACCATCAGACTGCAGCAAAATACCTTGGCTATGGGTTTTCTGAGCCAGGAGTCCAACCAAGTAAATACTGTGGAAAGTCATGAGTTCTTTCC